GCAATAAGGCTTGGCTTCATTTCAGTATGTTGCAGTGGATGGGAGGCTCCAGGCGGAAAGTTTCAACGGTAACTGTGACTTAAACTAGTTCAACTTAAATTGACTGCAATTAGTCAGTGTTTTTCGATTAGCTGTTTGTCCTTCAAATTATACTTGTCTATTCGAATGATTATATAGCGTAGACGTAGCAACTTTCACATACAATATGGTTTTTCTTCTCTCTCATATTGTTTCTTCGGCTAGCTTTCTGAAGCAAGTAAATTGTAGGAAAATAGACGAATAAATAAAAGTTTGCAACTCAGTGGCTTTTTCACTTCACAAAACAATAGTCTATTTCGGTGTGTGGCTATGTGATCCAAACAGGTCGTGCAGGTGCTAGGCAGATCAAGTTTTTTTTTTTCTTCTTTTGATGTTCTTTGATAGTTACATACTGTCACGAAGGTAGGCCGTAAACTAGATAAATCTAGCTAGCTTTCTTTCTGGATTTACATATTACAACAGCACGTGCTCCCATTTTATTAATCCTTCTGTTCTGGATGAAGAATTCATATGAGTTACTTACATTATAGTTTGTATCTACCTCTGATTGTCTATAATTATATTTACTTCAAAACAGGGCTAAATTTTTGTTCTGATTCATAAGCATTTCCCTTTTGCATGATTAAAATTGACATCCGCTTGGTGGGAACTACTCAGACAAGGAAATCCACACAAAACAGGTAAAAAGGGTTTGTAAATTCTCAATTTTGTTTGCAGTCGTGCATTTATTATTTTTCTGAAATCTTCATAACTTTCCAGAAATAGCATTTTATGAAATTGTTGTTACGAAAATAAGGATCGATGGATTTGTATGGTAAATGCTAATAGTTCCACTGTATCTGCATCATCAATTCACCTAATCTCTAATTTCTTAAGTTCTTACTTTTAAGTGTAACCTTTTCTATTATCAAGACAAAAGCAGTATTTCGAGCAAAGAAAAAGACGACAACAGCTGTCCTCTGGTTCAGAGAATTGTCATGATGCAACTGACACAAGCAGGGAACAAAAAGAGCATCGGTCACTGGACATTCTAAATTTCCTAAATTTATCAGCAATTCCTCAAGAGAATAAAGCTGCTTACACCATTGGTAACTTTGCAAAACTATTGAATTGAAGCTTAGAACTTGCTTTTCGTTTTTTTTTCTTTTTCTTCTAAGCGTTCGAAAGTAGAAGGTAAAGGAATTCTGCCATTGCACTCCCGTGTAAAGGTTTCACAGTTGCCTTCTATAGAGATTAGATTAGTATGCAAAGTTACATTTCCATAAGTCATTTTTCCTGGTTGTCCCCAAGTGTGGATAATCAGCAGAATATATTGTAATCTGCTCAATGGAATGCTTGAAGTTAGGCTAATATTACGAGGATCATATAATTTAGTAATGTGGTAAAAGGTCGAATATATTAGAGCAGATTAATTTGTGATATTTGGTTTTGAGTGAAATCGTTTAAGAATGTTGAGCGAGGTTTTCTTTGGGAGGGGTGTGCGTTCTGTTTTCTGGTTTTAGTGAGGTTTTGTTTGTGAGAGTGGATTTTGCGTACCCTGTTGGGATTTCTTTTTAAATTTTCAATTTCTTAATAAGATGTTTTGTTTCTGTTTTGAGGAAAAAAAGGGGAAAAAGAATAAGACATGACCTCTTCCAAAAAAACGGTGTTGTTTGATCTGCAAGCCCCTGATTCTTCTGGATACCTTATTCTTTTTTGTTTAGTTAATGACGAATTACCTGTTTATATTCTTTCATGATGTTTTGTTACAGAGGCCAATACTTCAAGGGTGCGGTCTCCTTCCATCAAAGGCCCAGTTCCAACTCTTTATAACATAAAGACATTAGAGAAATCTGCTGAGTTTGAAAATAAACGTAATTTTCTAACTAATATTTTGATTCTTCCTATTCTATCCCAAACTATTGTCCCTAAGACCATTTAAGCTGAAGTAAAAGCATTATTTTGAAGAGCAAAATGACGAAGCAGGAGCTCCATCCGGCTACAACGAGGAAACTTTATCTCCACTGAAGTGAGTAAGAATTGTTTCGATAGAGCTATATATATGAAACATCTCATATTCATTCACATATCTCTTCATAACTTCTGCAACTTAGTTTGATCTGCATCCATATACTTTCAAACTGACGTAATTACTGGTAAATAATCTTGATTATATCAGGATCTTTTGTTATGCGTGTGTGTGTGTTTATGGTAGAGTGATTTACTTCTAGTTATTATATTTACAATCGTCTGTGGACTTTTTGGTATATATAACATGTATTTTTTAGCAGACATGTAAGCAGTGATCCCAACAATCTTCATAACACTAAAAACAAAGTAGATTCTCAATCAGATCTGGGGAAGCTATCTGTTGAGCAAAGTAAGTACGCAAAATCCATTGAACTCTTGTTATTTTCCATACTTATCCTAAAATATTGATGTTTGCTGAAGTTGAAACCAGAATTGTTTAACATAAGAGCTAACTTGATAACATAGCTTTGTTTTTTAGTTTGTAATTGATATTTGCCATCAGCTGCTCCCGTTACTTTTGATTATAAATTTTGTACCTGAACTGTAACAGTCCCATTTGTCAGGTATTTCTATATTTGATTTGCTTGGCGATGATGGAATGGTTGTCAAATGCGAAGGAAGTCCAATGAAAGAAGCTCATGTCGCGTTTTCAGTTGACGGTACGGACTACTAATTAGAGAATATTTAATTTAGGTTCATGATCTTTCCTTACATATGTATGGATGATTTTAAGGGGTATAAATCAAATTCATTCTGCGGGTAGACTCTCTAGTCTGAAGAAACTCTTGATTGATTGGCATTTTTCATTTTAGAATGTTGTTGACGGACTTGTGCTCAAACAAGATGCTTCTAAGGTTTTATGAGGTAACATAGATGATTGAAATACCGACAGAAACTAAGGTCGCAAATTGATCAGAATTGGGATGACTCTACTCTAGGGGACCTCAAAGAATTATACTCTCTTACTCGTTCACTATTCAAAGCTCTTTAATTTTATCGCAGATAAATAGTTTTTGAATGCCATATATTTTTATAACATTTCAGCTATAACATTAACAGAATTTCTGAATGCCGTATGCTGTTTCCAGAATGGAGAGTAACGGCAACACACATACATCTATATTTTTCTGAAGTTGGTGCCTTTTCTCCGGACTATTTCTAATGATAATCAATGTTGTCAGGTTTGGGCAGAGTAGGAATGGAAACACCAGCATGTTCCCCACAGCATGCCAGCAGGTATTTGAATAATATTTTATTTGGTCATTCCATAACCATAACAAAAAAAAAAAAAAAAAACCCTCTGAATTAAAATTATAAAATTAAAACATTCGAGCCTAACATATATTTCCCACTGCGATAGCAGAAGCTTTTCTTATGGCTTCTCATCTCGTCAAGAAAGAATGAGGCCTTGGAACTCCTCAAAGAACATTAAGGTGTTGGATGACTTTGAACTTGAAGGAGTAAGAGCAGTCCAAGATGCGTCTTGCTACATTTGTTTGATCTCATAAAATTCTTATGCTGTCGATTCTTTCTGATAGTGTTATAGCATTGAATTTTACAACTCATCAGTCTTCTTCTCATTATTTTGTTGTATGCTCTGCTTCTTAGATTGTGGCAATCTCATCTAGTTCTATCTTTAAAATCAAATTTTTGGCGTTGTCTCTAAACAGCAAAGGCTTCCATAAAGTAATCTGGATTATATTACTCTAGAAGCTACGTAATGTTTTATCCGTTGTATTTATCTAAGATAATAATTTGATGGGTCTCATAATTTTCAGTTAGAGTAGAGTATCCTTCACTTGCTTTTATCAAACTTAAAATTGACAATAATCATATCGATACACGAAATGCAGGATATCAAAATGCATTGTGATGATGGTTCTTTAAATTATTCCTTAGACATAATGGATGAATGTGATAACCCTAAGAAGAAGTCACCTACCAAGATCCGGTACCGTTCCGTTGAAGATTGCAAAAGAAATGAACATGGTGGCAGATGTATCTTTGATGGCACGGATGGAGAAAGAGAGAGATTTGATGGTAAAATTTTTGTTCCCTTATTCGTCCTTTTCAAGGTTTGTGTAAGTTGGTTTATTTCTTACAACCAATTCTCATGCATCTTTGATAGTCTTATCTTTCAAATTTTATGTTCCAATTGGAACATGCATCAATGAAATTTGATTTGTTTTTCCTAAAAAACATAATACTCCAAGATCGTTTATAACTTTTCTCTGAGTATTTGTCAACTAGTCATATACTATTCCATAAAATTGTCTGTTTCTCCTCCTTTTGTCTGTTGTCAAATCTGTTGATTATTATTTTTCCTTTTAAGTTAATTTTATCTCAACATCTTGTGTCTACTAGGTGGATTTAACTTCTTAAATGACAGTTTTCTTGGGGAGATGGAATGTGATTTCTTCGAGAAGAATCATTTTAATGAAATTGGTAGCGTTTCGTTTGATTCTTTGAACTATGAGAAGTATGATATATCAGAAAATGCATTTGACAGCCCCTATCTACCAAAAAAGAGGTTCATATTGATGAAAGCTAATTTCTTAAGGGTTCTTCAAAGTTTAAAAAAAAAAAAAAAAAAAAAA